TGTAACTAATGTATGGATACATAATGGTTTACATTTACCATGATTAAGAAATATGCTGCTATAGAGAAATGCTAATCCTGCTGCTACAAAGAGTGACAACATGCGCCCATGACCTCTCTGGTTTTACACGACAGAGGACGCTAAAGCTTGATTTGTTTTCACAGTGATAGCTCACATCAACTGAAACTCCTGGAAATGTCACTTTAGCCAAAAGGCCACAGTTCAGGTTTCAACTGCCTTTTTTTGTCTCTTATCCTTACATCTGAAAGAGGCAGACGTGGAAAGGAGATGATAAAGTAGAGAAAAGAAAACTGACACAAGTAATGTGTTTGGCGCTCAGCAGTAGAAGAGATGGATTAGATAGGAAATGATGTCTGCCTTCACATTTGATTTTCCTACTAGGAGATCTTAAGGTGCTCAGACCTCTGTGTCTGTCTGCTGGCCAAATAATCACCAAACAGGATTATAGATGCCCAGTGTTCCCAAGAACTCAGGCCTCTTTGGAGCCTCTCTTTGGACAACCTGGTATTGGAATTCCCCTAAACCCCCCAACCATCGCCCCCACCCAGCCCGCCTTTGTGTTCTCACCCCTAAACCCACTTCTTTTTCTTCTGCCTTACTTTTGCTTTTCTAACTCTGTCCTGAGCCCAGCAGAGTCTCCGGAACAGCTCAGAGGTTGCGTGTGATTTCAAAGGGTGATCTGCTGCTGCAGAATAATGGGCTTCCTCTCCTGGGTAATACAGCCGTTATTAACAGACTTATCATAACGGGATTATTTCCCCGCCACAGACCCCACTTCTGGATCTTGTTAGAGGGCTACCTGGGAACCTCTTTCTTCTGTCAGTCCTGCTCTTACTCATCCTGGGCCAGTTGGTGGCATGTGGAGGGGTAAAACTCTAAAAACCACTTGGTGTATTTACAGTTCCTGTCAGAAGCAGTGAGGCTGCCTTAAAGCTATTCAGCATCATTTAATAGTGTGAGTGTCAGGAAGTGGTGTAAAGTGCCCCCAGGTTGACCTCATAATAGCTGCCTGCAACACTATTGGAGTTTATTTTTTAACATCGAATCAAATGCCTTGCTGTGAGAAACGCCTCATGAAAGACTATCAGAATGATTTGAGGCACTTGAGATGTTTTCTATTTTTAGTGACGATGACTGTTTTTTTCTCTGCCTGTCTTGTGCTACTGACAGCAGAAGAGGATGCATGTAATGAGGAAGGTGGAGGAAGCGGTGAGGGCAGATGGAGGAATGGTAAAAGTATTTTTTACTTTGTCAGAGGAATGCAGCAAAGAAGGGGAGGAGAGGAGGGCTTCAATAACTTTAAGAAACAACCAGTGAGCAACATCAGAGGGAGAAATTAGCTTTTGGGATTTGTTGCCCGAGTAGCCAGAACAAAACCAGACGTTTGGAGGTCACAGGCGTGGGAGGGCAGAATCAGACCAGCTCCCCTCCACTCATCAGGGGGTCACAGGGTTAGGTCTTGGTGGGGGTCACAGTTGACGGTCTCAGAGGGTTGTTAATTCTATTATCCCTGCCTGAGAGGTCCTTGTCAGGGCTGAGAGTGAAGAAGAGGAGGGGACGGCTGGATAAAAGGTGAAAGGAGGTTGTGAGGCCTGATTATTTTGGCATGAGAAGTGATCACATACCACACATATCTTTATCTCCTTGACTCATGTGTACTCATAATGTCTGTCTCCTTTTTTTTAAACTCCCCCTCAATCCCTGTCACGCACTCACTGACATGCTCACAGTTTAGTCAATGCAGAGTCAACTGGCAGGAATTGAACCGCCCGGCTGACTGATCATCAAGTAATTAGACCAAACCTATATGTATTTTCCTCAGTTCCCATGTAGTGCTAGATAATATAACCCAAAACCACCTTAAATGATACATAATTAGTTTTTTGTAAATCAGCCATACGGGATATATCATTTCTCTGGCTTACTTTGGTTTATTTGATTATCACAGTATGACCACTTTCTGGACTTTTGGACTGGACCATTGTTGGCCTCTTCACCTTTTAAACTCTCCACACTCTACTGAACTTCTCTCTCACTCTCCTTTTTCATTCTTCGAACACTACTACAAACAACTTCTGCCACTAGCTTTATCACTATTTGTACAATCCGTCTGCCCTCTATGCTATTGTGGCCTTTTGGAACAGGTGTAAACAGCCTGTGGTCAAATGACACAGTGTACAAACTAGTTAGATTCAAGCATACCCCAGGGGGCCATTTTGGACGACTGACGGTTCGACAGCCTTATTTGGAGCTTACTGAACATACTGAGGCCCCTAGGCTGCCAGAACAGAAGCTGTTGTTTTGCAATATTGTGCTGTACTTAAATGTTTGTTTGTGAATGTGAAAGAGTTTGCAGCACACATATTATAGAGGGATCTGGCAATAAACTGCAATCTGATTTAATCGTTTTGTAGAACAAAAGAAAAACCTCTTTGTTCATCATCTCTCTATCACTCCACTGCCTTTATTGGCATTCTTTCCAAAGCTTTTTTTTTTATTCAGGGCTGACTTGAATGATGTGTACTCTGTTTATGCATTCTTTTTTTTGTGTGTGTGTGTGTGTGTGTGTGTGTGGATGTTCATGTACGTGCACGCCGCTGTGTGTGTCTGTATGATTGTGTTAGCCCTGGCAGACTGTGTGCAGCCATAGCTGGCGAGGATTATTTCACTTGGCCAGACGGATTTCGGCTTGGCACGGCAGGCTGAGGATATGTGTCCCCTCTCTGTCACCCCAGGCAACTAACACTGATAATACTATCTGCAAATGGAAGACTTAATCTGCTGCCACTTATTGTGTTAATAATATGTATCCATGTTTCTCATCCTAAAAATAGCGCTGTGACCAAGTGAGGCTATTATTCATTTCTTCAAAGGTCTTTTGATAGGCATTTGTGCATTGTGATCATGAAACAGCAAAGTGAGTGGTTTTCAAACCCTTTTAGAAGTAATACATAGATGACGGCTAACCAGGTTCAGACAGGGACATCCAGGAAAATCACAGAGCAGCTGCAGATGGTGATGACCGTGACTCATTCTGTCTCCCGCTGTCTGTTTCATCCCCAGTCTTTACTAAATCCATCCTCTTTTTTTCTCTTCCTGCTCTGCTAATGACATTGACAATTAGCAGTGGCGTCACCAGAGATACAGAGTGTATTTAATGAGGGATCAGCTTTTGGGGGGGGTCTGAGGATGGGTTCCCCCAGGAGAAATGTTTCAAATAAACAGCTGTAAAGTGGCTGTAGCTAATGAGTTTTGCGAGTGGCAACAGGCCTGAAATCAATAGTTAATTTGGCTTCATTGTTGCAAAGAAGATTGTTTTTAATTGTAATAATTTTGTATTCAAAGCTAATCTGTCACATTTTAATAATGAAAATATTACAAAGTTTTCAGTCATTTTAATATGAACAATTTAAAGATAATCATGAATGATTAGCCCTTTAATTCAAAGCTGAGAGCAAAGCAATTTACCACATAATGAGTCTCATTCACAAGGTTTTAACATATGGTTGAGATGCTAAGTACAAATCACATTAGTGACTGCAAGAACAGTTGCAGTTGTTTAGTTAATGCATTTTACATCTGTAGTAGGGAAAGTATAGGTGTAAAATAATACAATTATAAATGGCTGAATTCCATTTAGGTTCAGTTTTAAGGTCCTGGTATTCTGTATACTGGCTCACTGTCCAGAGTTATTATAGTTTAGTATTTTTGTTGAGCTTCTGTGTTTAGTTCATTTTTTTGTTTGTTTGTTTGTTTTAGTTTAGTTTTTATTGTTTCAGATGTTTAATTTTATTTTTTTTGTTTCAGATGTTTACTTTTTGTTTTTTTTGTTTCAGTATTGCTTATTACTACTATTAGTTTTAGTTGTTTGTATTTAAATATTATTTATCGTTTCGTTTTATTAGCGATTTTGAAACCAACTACAGGTCTTCTACAGGCTACACATTTTACCTGAAAACCTATTTTGTACGTAAAGTAACGTATTGAGGAAATAAATTCCAAACTATCAAGCAAGAAATGAACGATAAAACAATAAAAACTACTTACTGTTTATTGCATGTTGTTACTACTTAGTTGAGACTTAATTTAGAGGCAGCAGACATTTTGACTTTTCATAGAGGAAACGTACAGGTGTTACTGATAACGTTAACGATGGCCTGTTTCATTCAAGTGTAGCAGTGGGGTCCTGAAACTGGGACACATAGATGGAATCCAGCCATCATTAACATTATTAGTTACACCTGTGTTTGATGAGTCAAACTGTCCACTCTTATACAGATCTACTGAAGTTACTGTCCTTATAAGCTGTATCCCTCTCTGGAAATGTATGGGAAAAATAAATTCAGTAAACTCAAATCAAAATCTTAACTCAGTAAAACCAGCTGCTGGTCGATAATAGTTTTGAATTTAAACACTTTCTTTTTTTGTGTCTTAAACTGTATGAACATTTCTGTACTTAGAAAAATCAATGAGAAAGCCCAGTTTATCACCTTCAGTACAATCTAGCCCTCGGTGTTGCTACACTGTGGTAAAATAGTTTAAAGATATTTTACTTGTCAGTTTTTATCACATCATCTCTTTATCTTTATGTGTGTCTGTGCAGACACGATCCACTCTGCTGTGGCTGAGTTTCACAGGTTTCTCCACAGCACAACTCTGTGCAGCAGTCTTTGCTGGGTCCTAGTGCCAGCCTTTTTTGTGTATGCTTTGATTCCTGAGTCTACGTAAAATGTTTGCATTATAAATCAGTCAAAAAAAGAAGAAGAAATAATTTGGGTGAGCTATATAAAGTCTTCGCGGGGCTAAAGGGCCATAATCTTGTTTGTGACGTCATTAAGAGGTATAATATCTCATTAATATTGAATTTAAAAACTTGTATGCATGGATATAACTCTCCAACAGAGCATGTGTAATATTCACATCTGTTGCATGTAGAGTATGAATTAAAAATGTTGTCCTTATTTCCTCTCTCCCATCAGAGTGTGTGGTGTGTCTGACGCCGTCAGGGTGCCATGGCTCTGGTTCAGGCACTACCTGTGACCGTGACTGACCACCCCAATCCAGGTCTTGACGTCCAGCAGTGCAGGCCGCTGTCATCCCACTCCCCCTCAGGCCCGTGCCCTGGCCCCTGTGGGCCCTGCAGCTCTGGGACAACCATGGGTTCTGTCAGCAGTCTCATATCAGGCCGGACGTACCAGGAGAGGCACTGCCGGGCCGGCAGTGAATTCACAACCAAGTCACGCCGCTCCACGCCAGCTACCAGCTGCTTCCGGCTCCAGGATAACACCCTACGTAGCGGCAGCTCCCTGGAGCAGCTGCTGGTTATCAGCAACCAAACACATCCTCAGGCCCAAGTTCTGCCTCCACCACTGCCCACCAAGAAGCAGCCCCGGCCTGGTAACTCCGCTGGGGCAGGCGGCGGAACGGTTGCTGGAGCAGTAGGTGGTTGCACTAATGGGAACTTTGGGCATGTGAGTGATGAGGTGGTGATTGGAGACTGGAATGACAACCTGGTGCTGGCAGCTACAAGCCCCTGCAGTGACTCGGAGGACCAAAGGGACAACAGGACTCTGAACGGCAACATTGGAGGGCCTCCTCCAAAACTCATTCCAGTGTCGGGACAGTTAGAGAAGGTAAGAATACTCCTCTTAGATGGCTAAATGGACCAGGCTGATATACTTAACTGCAGATAAATCGTAACGGTGTTGGCCAATAACTAACAAGAACCTGCTGTATAGAAATGCCAAACTACTATCTCTTTACTTTTTTTAAACTACTGAATATTGATATCAGCATCTGCTTCAGAAATCCATCAGTCGGCTACAACAGATTGCGCTATATTTACACTGATAACTGCAAGAGCTCAACCAATTCATTGACATGGCCAATATTATTGTCTGTAACAAGAAACTACAGTAAATTAATGCCAAACATCTTAACTCAAGGTCAACTTACAAGCTTTTTACAGAACTTTCAACCACAGTCTTTTAAGCAAAACTCCCTTCATTGATAAAGTATGTGAGGTATTTGTATGCATTTACATATATCTTTGGCAGTGGGGTTGAATAGAAAGTAGAAACACTTCCTTACTGGAAGTGTTTAAGTGCCTTTCACCATGACACTGAATCCTTACCAGCTCTATAAGTGCAGTTGGGTAGCTGACCGTGACCTGTGATCTGAAGACATTTACAGTAAAATGTCTTCTCTGACTAAAGCTTAATATTACACATTGGAACATTAAATATCTTAGCAAGGAATTTTTTTTTTCTGCTCTCACTAGAATATACGCTGCACTCATGAGCATTTCTGCAACATGTGCCGACATGTTTTACAGCAAATTGCCTCAGTTGTCTAATTGGCTATTTATTTCCATCGATCCAGAGGGAAGCTTAATCACTGGCCTCACAGGCTCAGATGGATCATTCGACAGCTACTCACCTTGCATACACATCATGATCAATGTCGGAGCTCACTTACAATCAGTGACGCATTTAGTGAACCCTGAGGAAGATCGTTAAGAAAAATGCTTACAGAACACGCAAGGAGCTTTCACCCCCTCTGTCTTTGTCTCCTCTCTTTCTCCACTCTTCTCCCACCCTCTTTGTTTCTCTGCCCTTTAATCAGATTTTCTTTGTCCTCTGCTCTTTCACTTTCTCCCTCTGTTGCTGTCTCTCTTTCTTAGATGTTAGGAAAATCATTAAGAAAATTGCCTAATGAAGCCCATGAATATCAATTAAACCAAATTAAACTAATCAGAGCCTGGAGGGATGACCTGCCAGCATATCACTCACCCCACTCTAATGAGTTTTATTCAGCCGTTGCTAATTAGCACTGCTTAGCTTTTATCAATCACTAATACTGTTTTTTTTTAAATAATTTTGTACTTTCAGAACATGGAGAAAGTGCTGATCCGTCCTACAGCGTTCAAACCTGTCATTCCCAAGAATCGTCACTCTGTGCAGTACTTGTCACCACGGCCAGGGGGCAGCAGTCTGTCAGAGAGCCAGGCCAGCCTCAACCTCCTGCTGCCCCTCGGTGGATCCAACAGTGCCAGCGGTACGAGTGGCATCGGAGGTAGCGGCAGTTCCAGCTCTGAAGGGAAGCGCAACTCCTACAGCGGAGGCCGCAATGCTCGGAGCAGCCAATCCTGCTCCATGTCTGATTCAGGGAGGAACTCCCTCTCCAGCCTCCCTACTCACAGCAGCACAGGCTACAGTCTGGCCCCCAGTGAGGGCTCCAGCTCCGGGTCTGGCTCCGGGGGCCAGCTGGAGCCCGTAACAGGCCTGGGCCGAAACACTTCAGGTGGAAGTGGGAGCCATGGTCACACTAACTCAGACAGTGGACGTTCCTCATCCAGCAAGAGCACTGGCTCAGGGTCGCTAAGTGGGCGCGGGCAGCCCTTGTCAGACAGCGGGTCCTGTGGCCACTCGCCACCACCCGTGGAGGGCTACGAGGCGGTAGTGAGGGAGCTGGAGGAGAAGTTGAGAGAACGAGACCAGGAGCTCCAGCAGCTCAGAGAAAATCTGGATGAGAATGAAGCTGCCATTTGCCAGGTGGGACATAAAGACACTCACCACTCACAACGCTGACCAAAGCAGTGTTGTGAGGCTGGTGAAACACTACATAAGTAACTTGATATGATGTTAGCACAGATCAAACACTAACCTCTGACCTCTTAACCATGTATTTTGCTCTGAAAGGTGTATGAGGAGAAGCAGCGTCGCTGTGAAAGAGAGATGGAGGAGCTGAGACAGAGCTGTGCATCAAAGATGAAACAGGCCTCTCAGAAGGCCCAGAGGGCACAGCAGGTGCTACAGTTACAGGTATGCTAAATATTTCAAAACTTTTAAAAACAGTCACACAACAATTGGCTGATCTATTTAAGAAAAAAATCCTAAAATTGTTTGTAGTCAAGAAGAGCAGCTGCTTATTTCACCTTGCATCAGCCATTTCTTGTGACTTATTTTAGATGTACATGTCTATTTCAGTGTGTAAGGCAGTTGTAAAACATGGATCTCTGTATGTTGTCAGGTATTTCAACTGCAGCAAGAGAAAAAGAAGCTGCAGGAGGACTTCTCCTCTCTGCTGCAGGACAGAGAGACGCTGGAAAGGAGGTGTGCTACTATCCAGAGGGAGCAGACCCAGCTGGGACCACGTCTGGAAGAGACAAAGTGGGAGGTGAGTCAGAGTCAGACCCAAAAAAATTGTTAGGTGAACTGCAATCCCTGTTTAAGTCTGGCAGGGTAATTTTGCGGCATCTCCCCACCTCTCTCACTATCTCTTGACTCACTAATAAAAGCGTAAAATCCCCCCAAAGAAAGGTGTTAAGTAGAGGTGACAGTGAGCTTAAATTAACCTCATAAGCTTATAAGCTTGAAAGAATTTGAAGTTTACCTTTAAGGAGCAAGCAGATCCAAAATGTCAGTTTATAATCTGCCGTAAGAAGCAGGTTGTTCTGTATTTTTAGTGTTTCCGCCTCTCCCTCTAACTCGCTTTCTCTTGTCCCTTCAGGTGTGTCAGAAGTCAGGAGAGATCTCCCTCCTGAAGCAGCAGCTGAAGGAGATCCAGTCGGAGCTCAGCCAGAAGGCCGGAGACATTGTGGTCCTGAAGGCCCAGCTGAGGGAAGCCCGTTCTGAACTGCAAGCCAGCCAGGTGCGATCCCAGGAGGCCCAGGCGGCCCTGCGGACGCGATCTCTGGAGCTAGAAGTCTGCGAGAATGAACTCCAGAGGCGCAAGAGTGAAGCGGAGCTGCTCCGAGAGAAACTGGGCCGTTTGGAAGAAGAGTCAGCCCGCCTCCGTGACTCTCTGTCCAATCACAGTGGACACTCTCTACCTGGAAATGCGACTATGAAGGGGCAATGCATGAGCCTCCCCCTCCAACAGGGTAGAGCAGGCAGAGGCGGTCCCAGTCCCTGTGTGTACCGTGACGGAGAGGAGACTCATCTGGTCTGGGGAGGAGAGAGTGATGAAGCCAAGGCACAGAGGCAAAATGCAGAAACAGTGTTGGGACTCAGACAACAGGTACATGTTTTTTCTGCACCTATGCCAGCCATAGGTAATGAAAATGAAACACTACAGTGGTGGATAGTACACATAGTACTCAGTACTGTACTGAAGTACAGTTTTGAGGTACTTGTACATCACTTGAGTATTTCCATGTTATGCTACTTTCACACTTATTATTATTACTATGCAGATTAAACATTTTACAAATAACAATATGATGAGCTTATAAAATATGATGCATTGTTATAGATAAAACTATAAAACAAAATGTAAAGTAGTTAAAAGTGGCTTCACCTTTCAATTACATTAAAATGCTGCTTACGTGTTAATGCATCTCTATTAATAATTGAATAATATAATAATATAACAATCACATAGACACATTTTCTGCATAATAAGCACCTTTAAAATTGAACCTAGAAAGTACATTGTGCTGATAATACTTATGTAAAAAGAAGATTTTCAATGCAGGACTTTTACTTTTACTATTACTTTTAAATACGCTAAACACGTCTGCCACCACTGAAACAGTGCTGTTTGTCTCCATCTCAGGTGGACAGGCTGAAGGCTGAACTAATGTACGAGAGGAGGACTAGTGAGGAGCATCTTTCGCGGTTTGAGGATGAGAGGAGGGTGTGGCAGGAGGAGAAAGAAAAGGTAAAAAAAAGAGGAAGAGAGAGAGAGGAAGATTTAGTTTTGTTTTATTTCATGGTAATCGACTTTCAATCTTGGTCATTTTCCTTCAGTGTCAAATTTGAAACCTAACTGTCACCCTCCCTCCCTCCACTCAGGTAATCCGCTACCAGAAACAGCTGCAGCAGAACTACATCCAGATGTACCGTCGAAACCGGGATCTTGAGCGAGTGATGAGGGAGCTGAGTCTGGAGCTGGAGAACAGGGACATGGAGGACTATGAGGTCCATAGTGGCAGCAACGACATCCACTTTGAGGAAATCACCGCCACTGAGATCTAAAAACACACACACACACACACACTTACACACTTACAGTCACAGTAATATGTGCACAGAAACAAGGATACTCACAAAAGAGGATGTAAACCAAACATTGAACTCCAGGACAAATACTGCACTATCTTCAACATGGCTTTATCAAGACCACTGAGCGAGCACTCACCACTTGTCACTGTCAAAAGGGAGATCTCCCAACGGTGCGTTCTTACTTTCTGCGGACAGACATGAAGTCCAATAAATCCTTATGAGGTGTTCCTCCTGGCGCTTTTAATGGGTTTTATTCCACTACAAAGCCAGCACAAAGACTTCTTCCCTTCTGTGGGAACGAAAGCAGTAAAAAAAAAAAAAGTGTTTCTTTCTCAAACCACGTTGAAATCAGGGTATTGAAAATCGTCGGGGAACTTGAAGCAAAAAAAAATGTTACTACGTGCACAGCAATCTGGTCAAAGCGCAGTCACACCTTTCTTGGTAGCACACAAGGTTAAACACCCGGCCACCAGCATGCATGTAATGATGCATCATGACAAACTTCCCATCAAACACCATCACTGCTGGCTGTTAATGACGACCTCGTCAACCCAAACTGGTGCTCATTGGCGACACAAACGACAACCGCCCCCAATAGTCCTCCAAGCAACTGCTAAAGGGAAATTAACACAAAGTATTACGAGATCTGCCGTTTGTACTTTATGGTGTTTTGAGGATCAGCAGTTTGTTTAATTTTACAATTTCTAAAAGGATTTACATATTTCCTCAGCAGTGTGTAGTTAAAAAAGAATGTATTGTGACTGTTATCACTCCAGAGAAATGCAGTATAAATGGTCATCCCCTGAAATCTGCTCACCAAGGGAAACATGGTATAATTTTGCACAACTTTCCTGCTCTCTTTTGTTCTGGATACAGCTGTCTTTCTAGCGAAGAAAATCATCGAACTTAAACAAAACCACTTTGGACATTTGTTTCTAGGTTTGCTTACATGTGGACATCCTATTCTGTCATTTCGCAAACGGCAGAGGACACAGAAACCAAACGATGGAAGGAAATGCTTTATTCGAACGCTGCTCATGTTTTCTAGACCACCAACAGTCATGCTGTTGCGCTCGATCAGTGTTTCACCTCATTTAGACAATGAAGCAAGCTCAGACATAAACATTTACATTTTACAATTATGTAGCACTAGGAAGCAGACCGTAGCATGTGAGATATCACCAGGATGCTGCTGATTCTCCTCTTTCTCTGTCTTTTTCTGTCTTTCTCTCTATGTGTGCTCTCTCTTTCCATCTGTATCTCTGCTTCTTACTCAACTATTTTTATAACAGTGAAAAGCACCTCAGCAGTCGGTATGAGGGAACTAAAAATGGAGCATATTCTTTCAGTGTGGTTGTGACGTCGCTGAGAGATTTAAGCCTGTGTTTGAACTGTAGGCATGCCTATTCAGAGTTTCCGTTTATTCCCCTCCATTCCCATTAGTGCTCTTTATTTAGCTTTTGGCAGCCCAAAGCCAAATAACACTTTTTTCAAGTCTTCCTAGTCTCCCCTAGACTATAATCTTCACTGACTGCTATACAGGTAACAAGACTGGCATGTCTGCATGTCTTTGTTATATGAGATTTCAGAAGAAGCCTGTTCAGATAGCGGTGAGATGAGAATTTGCAGATGCAGTAGCTCCAGCACTGAATGTCCTCAAGGCAGGTCGGCTGTTAAAGCCCTCAATATAAACCGGAGAGGAGCATGTTAACATTTGAAGCTGTGGGTTGCTCTGTTTTCTCACAGTATATGCAGGGCTGTGTATAACACTGAGCATGGCGGGTCTCTACAAAAAAAAAAAAAGTAGTAGGCTGAGAAGTTTTATTTTACAAAGAGTCTATATCAAGGAATAATAGTTAAATGGAAATCTATATAATGGAGGAGATGTTGTATATTTTTTTATATATAGCACCTGAAGATATTTTGTTGTAGTACTGGTATAAGTGTGGGTTTAATATACAAAGTATAAAGACTTCTATATATATATATATATATCTACCACATACCAATATTTCAAATGATGGATCAGTTATAAATGGAGGCGGCAGCATAGACAGAGTGCACCTAATACTGTAATGCATGAAAATATGTTTACATTATATAATCTGTGTGACACAAACATACACTCTAATGACCAAACTTTGCAGCTGATAAAACTGTTGGGAGCTTTTATTCTGGGCTCAGTTTTGACCTGTTGTCTCTCCATTTTGATTGATCTTTCATTTGAGTGTCAGTATCATAATATCACACCGGTTCATCTTCAGTGTTGGGTTTTGTGCACGTCATTCATTTGTAAATGCATGAGACAGGTCATTTTTGAGTGACTTCATCATTAAGTTGAGGTCGGAGCTGATGCAAACCAAGAAAGTGTTATGTTTCCTGTATTTGGAAATCTGTAGAACCCCTTCTGGAAAATATGATCAGTATATTTGATCAGTCTATATTTTGCATGACATTACCACGTCCACTGTGGTTTGACAGGTTTTGTAGAATATTAAAAGTCTGCACTGTGCATAAATTGTTAACGTGTAGCCATGGGAAGCGATTCTGAATGGAACTAGTTGGCTTTGTCCAATGATATTCAATTTGTGGACTAGACTGTTATTTACTCACCACAGATGCAGCACAGGTACAGATTAACCACAAACTGACTCCCTCAGTGATGAGTGCATCCCAGACATCCGTTTATTCTCTCATATCTCAGTTTCATCGTTGCATAACCGTTTTCTGTGTAAATATGTAAAACACTAATAGTATAACAGAGTGACATTGTCTTTTATTTAGACAAAATATCTATTTCAAATGTAGCCACTGTGACTAGACCAAAGCAACGTAACACATTTCTTTTTTTTGTGGCATTTTTCTCATCCTTTTGTGTGCATTTTTTTTATGTTTACTTACGTTGTGTCTTCAGTAATTCAGAAAGTATGTAGTTGTCCATGTATATTTTTATGTGTACATTTCTTGTACAAATGACTGTGTTTTTAATTAAAGAACAAGTTGTCACACCTTAAAGTGTTTATTTAACTGCTTTTTTTAGCTGAAACACATCAAGAGTGAACAAAGTATACCGGCTGGGCATTTATTGCATTAAAGTACTTTGAAATAACTCAAATGCATATCAGTTTCATCTATAAATTTAATTACATGTCTAAATTGAAACATTTCACCTTGAGCTTTTCTAGCACATTAAAACCAATGTTTGGGTAACATTTATCAGTGTTTTCCCCACTGCAAAAGTAAGGCACTATGCACACTATATTCCAGTTACCTTGCTGCCATATCTCCTCCACCCTACTTTGATTTAAACTGTGCCACTGGCCTTCATGTCCTGCATTTCTCATCGACATGTTTTTCAAACTCCTCCACATGTCTGCATAAGCTCAGTCCACAGTGTGGTGTAATTAAGCCTCTAAAGTGGCGGATTGGTCCAGAGCACAAGCACTTCTGCCAGAAAAATACAGCACAAAGATACTGAGCAGCAATTTGTAATAATCCCCCCAGACATCCACTAAACCCAAACTATCAGTTTTGACATAATACAGGGGTTTAATCTGGGTATAAATCTATAAATCTCATAACACAGTCTGGGGTAATCTCCCTCTGGCAGGTCTGCAGAGCTGTTGGACTGAGATGTTCCAACTGAAAAGTGCAGACCACTGGCTCCACAATTAGACAGTGCTCAGAGGTCACAGAAAGGTTGCCACGTGTCGAACCGTGGCACAATTTCAACCAAGGAGGAGTTCATGGACCACATAATCTTATCATAAAACACATATTATAAATTACATTATTACTTACTTCTTGTCCAGTTACTGTGCAATGTATGCGTTTAGTAAAATGTCTGCTAAAAACACTAAGAATGTTATAAAAGTTGTAAAGTTGCAACATTTAGTATCTTACATTTAATCGTAGCAAAAGTGATTTATTACAATCTTTATCCCGATAAACAAGCGGCTGTGTCTGTCTTAAAAACCTGTTTCAACATGTTCACCTTTCTCTTTCTCCCACTACTCCCATGTCTTTCATAGGGAAAATCTGTGCATCCAATCATTTCCACCATGACTGGAGATCTATCTGTCCCATATTTCCTCTGGAGTGAATCCTGTAGTTCATTCACTCCCACAAGAGTTTCAGGCTTTTGTGTCCTTTATGCCCGAGCTGCAGTCTGGCTGTGAGGCACACAGAGGTTAGTCAGCAGTCCTCCCCGGGCTGGTGGGGTTGGTAGGAACCTTGGGGACCTTGACCACAAAAACCATTGGGTCTTTGGCCTTGTTGCTGAAAGCACGGCGAATTACGTCTACCGCGTGCTGATGAGTCACTCCCTGCAGACTCTCGCCATCCACGGACAACACCTCGTACCCTGCCTGTGAATGCAAACACAGGTAAAGTGTTTAAGGTAGAGTTTAACATGCAAAACCCTCTGTAAACATAGAATAAGATTAATTATTATTCATAAATAATGATTACATATATATTTGTATCTTTTTTCTTCCTCTCTGTATTTCTTTTTCTGTAGCAATCAACAATAGACAGTTTCTGTAAATCTGCAGTGATTGCGATTCCCTTAGCGGGAACTTGATTTATGCCAGAAATAATTGGGGCTCTCCCTTTAATATATTCACACTGAAGTCTGTCACTAGAGCACATATAAAGTTTCCCCTTCAGCGCAAGGTTGTTCAAAAAAGAACATATACTGAGACAACAACACACACACAGCTGGGACAGTTTGCTCAGTGTTTCCTGCAGGATGCGAGCAGAGAGTGAAAACTTCGGACCCCCGAGGAGAGGAACTTCCTCTGATGTCATCAGCGTTTGCCAAGGATGCACCTGCCTCATGAGCTTAGTCGCTGTGAAGGTTAGCAACACAGACACGCAAGGCCGATGGCCATTGTTATATCTCTACCAATCACGTCTTTTTCCCTTTCCCTTTTCCTTTCCAGTCATTAGATATAAATACATTTTCTCTTTATTCTGTCATGGGCCAAACATATTTGGTTTGTATAGGACAGCGGTTCTCAACCAGGTGATGTCCAGGTGTCCATGAGGGGGTTCCAGGGGGTCTCCAGAAAAATGGGGAATATTTTTATCTCACTTTTATTTCACTGACTAGAATTTCGCCCGATGAGAGAATGTATAAGAATAACTTTTCTGCTATAGGTTTCAAACTCTTCATTGTTAATCTGCCAATGTACAGTATAGACAATTATGGAATAACTAAATCAGATGTGGATCCCTGAGACTAAATATTATCAAATACGGGGGTCCACAGCCTGATGTGTATCAATTTGAAAGTACTTGACACCAAAGAAGTTGAGAACCACTGATGTAGAAGATTAGATCTGCTGCCCTGTGTTTGTTCATACAGCTCACGCAGTTTGGTGTTCACCAATAACCTTACAGCCTTCCGTGAGAACAGTATCAAAAGATTTAGATCCATTTAAGCAAAGAGGAGATTAAAGGTGCTTTTTCATTTTTGAAAAGTAATTTATTTGAATTAAATAGATCACAACCTAATCTGCCCCATCCTCTTTACGGCCATTTATGGAGCGCATTTATGAGGTTTCCTCTTTTTCTATCCAATGGACATCACGATCCAAAAATAACATGGACTGTAAAAATTACTACAGCTTCAGGATCAGCGAATCGTTCATAATGTGGTTTACCAGGCCATTAGAAATGAATCACACTAGATTATTTAGATAAGGTAGAGAAAGGACGTACTGACTCTGTGTATTATGTATCTCTATGAATCTCTACATACACACAAACAATAGAGGTGCATCTCATTATAGATGCTACATTTATTATAAATCTATCAAAAAAACATATTAACTCATTTACTTCTAGTGGTATCCAGCCAAAGTTTAAGCTAGTTTGGTTTTTAGATCTGTCCCTGAATATTTGCTGAAACAATTATGGAAGGGAATTCAATTTTTATTATTTGTGGTGTTCACAGAATTAAAAATGTACATTTAACCAGAGAGTCTGCAGACAGCAGTGCTCTGAGCTTAATGCTAATTTCAGCAGGCTAACATGTTCATGAACTTAGTTTAGCTTGTTAGCATGCTAACATTTGTTAATAAACACAAAAATAAAGTACAGGTTTATGTCATTAGTTTTTATACCAGTTGTATTTCACATATTATAATTTTGACCTGATGATGGCATCAAAGGAAAAGTTAAAGCATCACCAAAGTCATTACAATCCATCAAGGAAGATGTTAAAGTCTGTATCAAATTTCATTTTAATCAATCCAATAGATATTTCATTTAAAGCCACAAATTCCAACCTGCTGGTAGATTGAAAGTCAGTCACCAAAGCCCACACATTAAATAGGTATGTCTTACACAGCCGGTTAAATCCAGGCTCATGACACACTCTTGTCTAGATATCCGCTGATAAAAGCAGGTGGCAGAGTCTGATGAACAGTAAAGTATATGCACACATGGCAAAACACTGACGCACACGAAACAACATTCTTCACTGATTATATGTTATCATAAGTGTGGGTCTAAGGAAACAGGATGCATGTTAACACTGAGCTGAGCCGGTCTCACTTCCCTCTGCAGAGTAGGACGAGATAGCCCTGAGCCAGGGAGCTGATAGGGACGAGCTGCCTCGTTGTGAAGTGAGAGGCATGTGACAGTAGCCATATAGCTGTGTCTGACCTAACTAACCTATATCTTATATATAGCTTGTGGCATATGGGATGACGATGTCAGTATATCGGTTGGTCAGTCCACCACTTTGGTCTTTGGTGAAAGCATTTCTACAACTATTTGATGTATTGCCATGAAATTCGGTTTAGTTGTATATGATCCCCAGAAGATGAATCCTCCTGATTTCGGTGACTTTTCCTCTAGTGCCACCATGTTGTTTCCAGTGAAATGCCGATACAGACATTCATGCTCCCCTCAGGATGAATTATAATAACTTTGATGACCCTCTTTTCATCTAGTTCAGGGGTCTCAAACTCAAATTGGCTTGGGGCCACTGCTGGTATTGCTAGGACTGCCACTTCAGTGTTTCCCATTATTTTGCGCTAAAACATTTTTAAGAATAGAATAGTATACTGATGTTAAGATTTAGCTCAAAGTACTGCTGTGCCTCGGTACAGTCTCACAGACTGTGTGGTTTTTAAACACAGTAAAATACAGTTTTATTCCCCACATTCCTGCTACCTTTGTTGCTGTTATTGATTTTTTGCTTTCTTTCAATTTACATCTTCTTTTTCTTTTATGTTCTTGTTGTTCTTGTGACTGGGTGCACAGCATGTGTTTGTGTGTGTGGTGCTTGTGTGACTGTGAGTGCAGGCATGTGTGTGTAAGCAGGAAGTTCTTAGAATTTCAAAGTCTGAGCAGATACTGGATCTCCTCTATGTTTGACACTCCAATCAGGCCAATTAGACCTGGTAGCAGCTGTCAATTGTTAGAAACCACATGCAAATGAACCCACACAAACACCCCTATTATTGCAGGTATACATTGTTTAAGATGACACTTAACACACACTTCTTTTCAAGTATCTTAAGGCAGGTTTTGTTTAACCGCTACAATTCTGACTCTAGTCGATGTGGTTAACTGTAGTGAATGCGTGTGTGTATCATGTGTGTTTAAGTGAACCAGGCCAAGATCACAGATGACTGTTAAGTTACTGTGCAGTCAATATATTAGCAATACATTAGCAGACCAGCACCTGTGTACCTCATCAATAATGGAGGCGATGGGCTACTTGAGATGGCTCATCTCCTCTCCACTCCTCATTGCACACCTTCAACCTCTCTTATAGCAACAACCACTCATAACCCCAGGACAGATGGTCTGACAGGTACTTACAATACACTTCAACCAAGGACAGACATCTAATCTGCTTTAAAATCACGATGTTATGAAAGAACAAAATTGCCATAACTGCTCACCTTCAGAGCCTCATTTGTAGATGCAGCTCCTCCAGGGAAGATTTTCTCAATCTTTATCATGGGCTGGACTCTAGACTCCATACCTCCAGAGAT